GGCCCCAGCCCCAGCCCCAGCCCCAGCCCCAGCCCCAGCCTGAAATGGCGGGGGGGGGGGGGGGGAGGCTGGTAGCAGCCCAGGCCCTGGCCCAAAGGGGATGGGGGATACAACTCAGGGCCAGGCCCAGGACCTGGCCCCAGACCAAAGTGGTAGGGGAGAGGGGGCCAAATGCAGGCCTCTGTCCCTGCCCACTGCCCCACCCTGGTCATTCTTGATAGGCAATTTGCTAGTAGTAAAATAACGTGCATCCAGTAAAAGCAAATAACCAGATTCACCCAGAAACTAGTACCAACAAAATGACATCTGAGGATCTTAAGAATCAAATAGACTTTTAAAATTCATATGATAAAACTAATATCACTGTGGGTTATCCTGATCAAGAGCACATGTTCTCAGTAGGAAACATTATAAGACCCTCTTCTCAACTAATAGCAGATTAAATAGATCTAAAAGGGAAAAAACATTTCAAAGATGTCTCTCTTCCTGGTTTTCTTTCCATAAAAATATCCACTAAACCAAATGAGCAAAAGGAGTTTTCATGACCCAGTTGTTAAATCGTATATAATTATAATACAGAAATAAAAGATCTTTAAGGTCATGGAGTTTACATTGCCTTCTACCTAGGCAAATCAAAGTAACTAGCAGACAGCAGTGAATGTAATATGATGAAGATCTTGCATAGTAGGCAAGAAGAGGTGTACCCATTTTACAGATAAGGAAACTGAAGTTTGAGGACAATAAGTATCCAAATCAGACAGTATGTAGTAGACCAGGACTGATATTTCAGTCTCAGAGTTCTCAAATCCTGTTCTGCCTCTGCTAGCAGCATCTCTCTTCAGGCAAGTACAGTGCAATCTGCTTAAACGTTCTCAGCCAAGGATCAGGTATAAACTCAAGATCCAAACCAGCCTCAGTTTCCAAAAATCCTCTACTTACTGGCATTATGCCCCTAGTACACCTTCTGGCTAATGCCCTCAAGGTTAAAATGGTAGCACCTAGCACAAAAGGTTGTGTTTTTCTTGTCTTACTTCGTTTGCATCATCTGTGAGGCAATTACTAATTGAAGAAATAAACCTTCAGTTATGATTGGCTCACCTTTCACCTGTTCAGTCTGCAAATATCTAGAACTTGGAGCTTTCAAATTGTCATGTTTGAACCAACCATTTTGAAGATACTGACTAGGTTCCTCTTGCATATGACCTCTACTTAAAATATTTACATTTCATACATGATATGAAAGAATATTAATAATGAATATTGAATATTAATGAATGATGCATATTAATACTGCTTAATGATATCTTATACTTCACAACTTTCATGTACTGTACAGATCCATCCAGGCATTTGGGCACCTACCTGCCAGTGAAATCCATGTGTATAAAGCACCTAAATAGTCCTACAAATCTAAGGTGAGTAAGTATGATTACTTGTTATTTTACAGTGGGGAATCTGAGGAGGAGGAGAAAAAACATTCACCCAAAGAAACAGTAGAAGAGTCAGCGTTAGAGTTCGAGGTTTCTACATCCTAACTGTATGGACACCCTTTCCACCAGGCTGCCTCTCTAAAGCAGCAGGCAAAATTATACTTTCCTATCTGAGGTGCCTGGTTCTTACAATGGGGTACATACACATTCCTACAATCTCTTGAAAACAGAAAGTATATGTAAGATTAATCATTCCTTTCTGCTCTGTTTTACTGCCCATAAAATCTCTATAATTGAACATGTAGTAATTCATTAATAATTTCAGTTATACATAATTTATTCTTAATTTAACAGTTAGCTCTCTAGATAAAATTCATATTTAAATTTGTATTAAACTTGTATTTTAAAATTGTCGTGTATTAATTTGTTGAGATGATGTGCTATATTCATAAAGCATGAAATCAGCATTATCCTAATAAGTCCACACTGAATCTACAATACATATTTGAATATAGGCTATACAGGCACATGGCTTTAAAAAAACCCGGCCACAGAGAAGTTGTGTCCATATGCAGCATTATTAAACTTTAGGGTGCAACATCTAAATCCTATTTCAGCCTGTTCTAATGGATTTTTCATAGAAAATTGAGAGTTTGGTTTCAGATTATGCACCCAACAGCTGAAGTAGAAAACTGGGTTTCTCAGCAGTCTCTCACAAAAATGACCTTCTGTATTAGTTTGATGTAATGCAAAAGAAGAGAATGAAAGAGTTGTATTAATTTCCTAAGGGAAAATGCAGGAAAACGAGGAAGTAAGCACTGTCTACACATGCAGCAACAAGAGTCCTTAATGGAACAACAAATGCAACAAGAGCAAAGAGTCCTTAATGGAAGGCCTCAACACACAAGCTTATCTGCATGAATAGAACCCCACTGACTGAAGGATCAAGACCTGTGATGTTCAAGCATGTCTTAAGTCTGAAGGCCCACTGCCTGGAATCAGACTTTATATTGACCCCTCCTACCTATTTTAGGAAAGTCCAGTCCAGATTAAGATGCTCTCTTCCCTCTTTAGTAATCTTAATGGTGTTAACATCATCTATGGACTTCTTCCAGTAGAATTATTGAATACTATGTTAACCCAAAATCTGCTTTACATCCCATGCAACCCTGGCTAGTTCATATGAGTTTGCCTAGCTCTCAGTTAAGCTAGAATTTGGTTCACATTAGGTGCTTTTGTGTACAGTGTAGATGGCAGTATGTTTTTTTCTTTCAATGTATATATATTGTGTACGTTCAATAATTCTCTAGACACAGCTAACTTCATATTCAGCCATGCACTGACTGGTAGTATCAAACTTGAGCAGAACTAACACTGAATCAAGCCTGGGGATCAACTGACAAATGTTGCGACTGAATATCAACATTCAGAAGCAGATGATGTGAGTACAAGAATGAAAATGAATGCTTATTTGCAATATCCCCCATGATAGGTGCTGTATGAACATACAACAAAGTCCCTGCTCAGTTCTGCCATTTTGTACTGTACTCAGCTCTTCTAGTCTAATTGAAATGGTGAGGCAGGGGCTGGTGGTGGGTGACGGCACACCTACTCCACAAACAATTCTTCTGGAATTGCAGCTGCACAGTGACATGAAGGATTTAGAAGTTTATTTACAATAATGAGCTGATCTCCTCTCTGATCTTTTCAGTGTATTTCCTTTCAACAAATGTCCTTCCCTTCATGTTTTCTAAGTCAGGAAACTGCTTAATAGTATTACAATGAAACAAACAACAGTATGTGACAGTCAATTATTTTATTGGTTGGAGATAAAATTGAAAGAAAAACAACATTATATTTGCATACAAGCCTTTGTACTTTTTATGCATGGTAGTAATTTTGACTTAATCATTACAGAGAAAAACTGCAACAAAAATTGTTAACAGTGAGTTTCCAGATGGAAATAATTGCTCACTGGGGAATGCCTCATGGAAGCATAATAAAAAACAGAAACTAAACAATGCTAGACAGTCCACAACACTCAGTCAAATGGATAGCACGTACAGCACAATGTTGTAGGAAACCTTGGGGTAGTAATAGTCTGAGATCCATAGCTTCTGGGCTTCTTTCCAGAGGAAAGCCAATATTTTCCTACAAAGCCAGAGGAAGCAGGCAGCCCAAACTTCCACATTGCTCGGGAAAAGAAATGTTACTCAGAGAATCAATGGTCAGCTACAAAACTTTCTAACTGTTGGTTTTAAGAGTAGCTGAAGAGCAGGGAAGGGGAGCAGTGGAACATTTTCTAGTTGAGTAATTTATTTTTTCTAAGTTTAAGATATGTGTGCTACACTGCAATTCCATGATTGTATAGTAATGGTGAAATATATCTTACAGTTTGATTAAGTTTATCTTTACAAAACAACTTCTGAGGTGACATTAATGGATCCATTTGAAGTGAACTGGTCAATACATAAGGAATACATGGCTTTTCTATTGTTACTGCTGACGGTAAACTCCTGTGTGAGAGGAGCAAGAAGGCCAGGATTGCACCTGATTCAGAGGTCAAGGTCAGGAAGAACTCTTCTTGTTCCCTCCCAGGACGAGGTACAAGGACTATTAGTTCTTCCCAAGAGACCCACAAGTGTCTTGAAATCAAGCCGAAACATATCTTTCCTGCTACCACTAGCCCTAAAGTTCCAAGAATCACTTGTCATGTTCTGTGTACATAATAATGATTTTTTTTAAAGTCATGTGGTTTTGGGGGGGTGTGTGTGTGTGTGTGTGCATGCACATGCACAAGAGTGAGAGCATGGGGAATTCTTTATGGCCACTTTCCCAAATTTACTGAGGAAGGTGGTTTTGATCCCATTGCTGGAGCTCTCATCTCCATGTCTTCCTGTCCCCATTCTCCAAATAATCCTGTTGCCTCAGCTCCATATACAGTGGCGATGCGTAAGGGGTGCATGGGAGTGCATGTGCACCCCCTGACTGGCTGCACTTACTGCTTAGGTGATCGGCGGGGGGGGGGGCAGGTGGAAGTGCAGGTGCCCACCCTGCAAGTGCCGGCTGATCTCTGCAGCTGCTCCCAGAAGCAGCTGCAGCCACTACTGGAAGCGGCTGCAGCGATCGGCCATTGTGGGATCAGCCACAGGGGGACCCCCGCCCTGGCTAGCAGGACTGACTAAGGTGGCACCAGTCGCCCATGCCCATATTAGTTCCGCCCCAACTGGTCCATACCTACAGTGTACACATCTGCCCAACACCTTGTTCATCATGTCCTGAGCCTCACCCCTTACTCCTCCCAGGGTTCTCTACCCACCTTCCCTGTGCACAGCAAAGGGCAGCCACAGGAAAGCTCTTCATACCCCTTGGTTTCCTTCTCTCACTTGTAGGATGTGTGAGACACTATAGAGGTTCCTTACACCTTTCTGTCCTTTCTCAAGCCAGATATTTCAGAGAGGTAGAGGGGAGAGGAGACATCCCCACTTTTCGCAAGAAAGGATGAAGGAACTTAGCTGCTTCCAACTGCTGGGCTCTTTCTCATAGGCTGGGTGGGAGCCCAGGGTCAATTGGACAGCCCTGGCATAAAGCATCATTATCTAATTTATTAAAGGAAGAAGTACCTAGCCATAAATTAATCAACTACAATCAGTTGCCTTTAAAAACAAAAACGAGCTGAAGTTGGTCTAGTGCATCTCTTGATCTGCTCTCCCACAACTTTGGCCTTGTAGGTGCTCCAAGCCTGCTGCCTGGTGTAACTCTCTCTAATCATCTTCTTGGTGGGAAAGGTGCTCACCAGCTCAAGAGCTGCTCTCTTGGATTTGTCAGGTGCTTTCTCAAGAAAAATTTTTTTGGGAATAAAAATGCACTCTGCTCCTTCACTGATCTATAGGAGATAAAAAAAACAGAGAATAACTACATGCTGATTTTTAAACAGTACAAAACCCTCATATCATACTGTTGTCTCTTTGTATAACCATAATGTAAGTTATTCATTCCAAAGAGTTTATGAATGCATATTAATTTGTTACTAGAGGTGCACCAATACATCGGACCACATTGTATCAGCACTGATAAAAGGAAAATTGACATTATCAGCAATCGGCTTTTTTTGGCTGATGTGGCCAATAATGTTGCTGATGATGCTACACGCATGACTACAGCCCCAGCATGCACGCAGACAGGAGTACAGCCTGGCACTGTGGAGAGCAGCATCCAGCCAGTAAGTCTGTGGGGGGAAAAGGGTGGCGGGGGGGGAAGGGGCAGATTGAGGCCCCCGTCATGAGGGAGGAAGTGAGGCTAGGGCAGGGGCAGACACTACCCAGCCAGGGTGGGGAACAGGACAGAGCCACAAGCAGCTTGTCCATAGGGTGTGGGGTACTTCTGCTGCTGCAGGCACCCCTGGGGGAGGTATGGGGGCATGTGCACCCCCCCCAGGTCTGCACGTGGGGTGAGGGCAAGCTACTGTTGTGCACTTGAGCCAGTGCTGTGTTTGGGGTTGGTGGAGGCAGCAATGAGAGGGAGGGCTATGTGGTGGGCTACAGCCACCCCAAAATTTGCTGTAGCACCCCCTCCCCCCCAGTGCTGTTGTTGCTTACCCCAAGCGCAGGCCTGGCCCAATCCCAGCATTGGGAAGAGCCCAGTGCAGCCCCAGCCCCAAGCGTGCAGTGACAGCCCACCCTCACCCCATGCACAATTTGGGAGGCACATGCCCCCATACCTCTCCTGGTGGTGTGCACAGTGGTGGGAGTTGCACCCCCACTCCCTGCACTCCCTGGATGAGCTGTTCATGGCTCCATCCTGCATCCCGCTCCACCCCAGCTGGGCAGTGCCTGCCCCAGCCCCACTCCCTCCTTCACTGTGGGGGCCTTGATCTTTCCTCCATGCCCCTTCCACTCCGCCCTGCCCCTTACCCCCAACAGACCTATCAGCTGGACGCTTCTCTCCAAGCTGCCAGGCTTGAATTTTGGCAATCAGATCGGTATCAGCCAATATGACTCATTAATAATTGGCCATTAGTATCGGCCAAAAATTCTTTATCGGTGCACCCCTATTTGTTACAGTGTGTTCAGAAGTTATCTTGTAGATCAGGTTAAGAATCCTTTTAAAACAGATACAGAGAATCAACAAAGCCAATATGCAGAAGCTATCTATCCACTTTCTGTTATGCTTCTGTAGACAACAGACACAGATGGTAAAAAATACTATCATCCAAAATAAAACCTTTTCTTCATCTAGAAAATGTTGGGCTTATTTTGATCTTAAAGATAATAGTCTTTGAGTTCACATTTATCAATTTAAAGATGGTTTTAACAAAGATGAAATGAGATTACGTTCTGCCCACAGAGTGACTTTGATTGAGTTAGAGAAATTGCTTAGATTTATAAAGACAGAGAGATTATATAGATTATATCTTTGCTGTGAGTATTCAGGCCATGCCAGTTTTGCCAAGCAAAGTTATACAGGACTAAATGTAGGCCTAATAACAGAAGATGAATGCAAAGTTCATTATGGAGAAAATATTATTAAAATATGTGTATTAATAGCATATTGTTTATCAAAGTTCCGTATTAAATTTTAACTAAGGTTCACCTGCACTGTAATAAGGAAGTGTGAGTAACACATGTAAACATACCCAAGCTGAGATGCATGGGACACCTCTGATTTTTGGTTGAAATATGCAGATTTGTCAAAGTTCCTCTGAATATGTTTCAGTGACTATTTTTATGCAATACAGATCCCTTTCAAAACCTGCTTATCAGGCAAGTTTCACCAGTTTCACTGCTGCTGTTGAGTGGTGGACCACAGTGAAACTGCAATCTCAATTGCAGTTGGCTATTGCCAGGATTTCCATTTAAAAGACACCTGTGCTTCACAATTTCTGAAATTACAGATTCTGGGATTTCAGTTTGGCATTTTGTTCTAATATGGAACACAAAATCAGTATGGCAACATAAAACAAATCTGTTCTTAATATAAAAACTGTACCAAGTCCAGATTTTGATCCAGCTTCAAACTGTGTGCATTTATAGATATATTTTAAAAACTATTAAACAAGCTATTGAAATGATAATGGTATTTTTAAGAAGCCAATGAGCAACCATGCTTGATCTGCTGCTATAATTCAAGTTCTAATTCTGCATTGTGGATCATTAGCTTTCTCTACTAACATGTATTTACACTTTGGCTACGTACAGACATTCAAAAAGCCTGGACCTGAATTGATTCAATCTTTGCAGGTTAGTCTAACTTGGGAAGATTGAAACAAGAAGCAAGTGAATAGACATTCACTTTTGAATCCTGAAATGCCTGCAGTGACTCAGGCTAGAAGCTGGAGGGCGCCACAGCGCCCTCCCTTCCCTTCAGCAGTGACCAGAAGGTTGGAGGGAAGCAGAGTTGGGGGGTGGGAGACCCTGGCCAGCTGCTGAGTATGATTGGGAGCAGTATAAACCCCACCCTGGCCTGCAGGGACCCCAGCCAGGCTGTGCCTGGAGGGGTCTGCCCAGCTTTTCCCCTCTGCTTGCTGCTTGAGCGGCAGGAGACGTGGCCAGATGGTTGCCTGGGCATTGCCTCAGGTGAAGTGGGGGAGAGATAGGAATTAGATGTCCCTTGCCTCCTCTCTCCCACCAGTATGGGACCCCAGCTGGGGTTTGCCTGGCTTTCCCCTCTGTTCGCCACTCAAGCAGCCATCTTGGGTCCCATGCCAGTGGGAAACCCCCCTGCCACCCCCAAACTTTGCCTGAGGCACTGTCTGGGCCACCACTTGGCCACACAACCTGCTGCTTGAGTGGCGAGCAAGGTGAAAGCTGGACAGACCCTGACTCAGGTCCTGTGCCAGTGGGAGAGGGGGAGGGAGGATTAAACTCCCCTTCCCTGCCTGACCCTGATTGTGCCAGCAGGGGCCTGGCCATGACCTATGCTCTCTGCTTCAGCAGGGAGCTGGGGGGTGGGGAGGCAGAAGGGTGGCAGCTCCTGCCACACAGGCCCAGGCTGGGGTCTTGTGGGCCATGGAGGGGGTTTAAACCCCACTCCCTCCCCTGTACCTGGCCCTGCTGGCCCACACCCCCACCCCCTCCACTCCAGCGGGGAAAAGTCTGGCAGTGGCTGCTCCACTTCCACCAGGCAAACCAGGCTGCATCCCCAGCTAGGTTTCCCACCCTCACTCCCTCACCAACCAAAAGGCAGCAAAATATAATAAAGGCATTTCATAAAAAAGCAACATAAATGGAGCAGATTTTGATATTACCCCAGATTTTAAGTAATCACAGAATTTAGACTTTGGGTGTGGGTTAATTTGAGATTGGGGCAGACATTAGTGGACACTGATCAAGAAAATTCTTTTCTGGTTTATTTTCTGTTACAAAGAAAATAAGAGAGGGTTTCTCTCCCCACTCCACTTCTTTTAGGAAGTTAGTGATAGTGATGCAGAGATAACAGGCAACCTATAAGCTATGTTCAGGAATACACTGGAAAAGAAAAGTGCTTATAGGTAACTGCAAGCCACAACTTTTTCTATTCCAGTGATTCTCAGCCAGGGTGCCAGAGCACCCTGGGGTGCCTTGAGAGCCTTTCAATGGTGTACAAATCTAACAAAGGGAGTCTTGAGTCTAAAAAGGTTGAGAACCTCTGGTTTATTCAGTGACAAGTGGGAAGGAGCACTGGTGTCACAGCAGTTTGCTCTTTTGCATTCACTGGGCCATACCTTTCTGTACTTGTCTCTTGCATGTCTGCATGATCAGACAAAAGAGGAAAGCCAGCGGCAAAGCCTGCAGAATACATCAGTGCATGTGCATTTCCTAGAGATGGTCTTTTCTTCTAGTTTCCAGGTTCACTCCTCTTACCAAAACACAGTGAGGAAGCAGTCAGAGCAGGATGCACAGGCTAGGAACAAGTCCTAATGGATGACTGGAAATTACTGCACAAGCTTAAATGTAAAAAAGGCTTCTGGAAAAGGCTATTTCTTGACAATTTTTTTGATCATCAATATAGGCTCAACCTAAAATGTAGTTACTGAAGTTCAACATTCTAACATTTGTCTAAATAAAAATGTTCCATATTCAGGAGAAATGCTTTTGTTCCCCTTCTAAATAATAACTTAGTTGATTAACACTTCATAAAAATGGAAATGAAAAGAAAATAAGTTTTAGCATCTTCCCTATTAAACAAATCTTCTTACCAAGCTGAACTTCAGGCCACAAAATTTGTCCATTGTTTCAGCCAAGCCCTATAATAGTAAAGGAAACATGTCTTAGAAAAATTAGTAAAGTTCTCTATAGAGCTGTACTCCTTCACTTTTTCTAAGTAGAAAACACTGGAGTTTAGTACAAGCTTGAGCCAAGCAATCCTTTCTGTGATGGAATGGCTGTTCTGCTACCATGTGACATTTCTATTTTTAAAATGATTCTCCCTCTTGGTAATAAAGGAAGGGTTGGTCACCCTAGTTGTTTTAGAAAAATGATGGGATACATTCTTACGTATGTTTCTGTGTATGAAATATATACTTCACCTTACACAAACACTTCAACAGTGTGCTTAAGTCAGGGGTGGGCAAAATACAGCCCACGGGCGAGATCCAGCCCATGAGGCCGTTCTATCTGGCCCACGGGGCCCCTAAAAAAAATGTAGAAAATTAGTATTTCTCTGCCCATGGTTCTGTCAAAAATTACAGGAACCAAGGGCAGTAGGACCCAGGGGAAGCCCGGCAGGCTCCCACAACAGCAAGGCCTGCCCTGCCCCACCCCGCCCCCCAGCTGGAAGCCCCAGCCATGGTTTCTGGGCTGGGAGCACATGGCTGCCCCGGTGCGGGAAGCTCAGGTAAGTGGGAGCGGGGGGACCCCGGGCAGGGAAGGAGCAAGGGGTGGGAAGTGGCCCCTCCCCATCACATGACTGGTGCCCCATGCTGCAGCTGCTTGCAGCCTGCATGGGGCTTCCTGTGCCCGCTCTGGACAGCCCCACGCAGGCTGCAAGCACCTGCAGCATGGGGTGGGGGAGGGGTGCTTCTCCCCCATGCTCAGCTGTTCCCTGGGCTCCTTCCCTGCGTGGAGAACAGCAGCCCCTTGCCCGCCCCATGCCTGGTGTCCCACGCTGCAGGTGCTCGCAGCCCGCATGGGACCGTCCGGAGCAGGCACAGGCAGCCCCATGCAGGTTACGAGCGGCTGCAGTGTGGGGCACTGGGTATGGGGTGGGGAGGGGCTGCTTTCTCCCCCCCCCATGCTCAGCACCACCTTGTAACCCAGCCCCACTGCCAGGCTGGTAGCAGAGGTGGGTTACAAGCTGGTGCTGAGCGTGGGGAAAAGTGGCCCCTCACCTGCCCCACGAACAGCGCCCAGAGCACGGTGGCAGGAGCGCGGGGTCCCAGCTGGCAGGGGCTCTATGGAGGCAGACTAGCTCCCCCCTCTCTGCTGGTGCAGCCCAGCCCAGCTCCAAAGACCCTTGCCAGCCTCTGGGCCCCACTGGTGCTGGCCCTGGGACATTGGTCCCAAGATGGTGACCAGGGGGTGGGGCACCTGTTAAGGGGTGGGGCACCTGTCACAGGGCAGGGCTTCCCATGTGACCCTTGACAGCCTACCAAAGCTGGTTAAGTGGCCCTCGACTCAAAATAATTGCCCGCCCCTGGCTTAAGTCCTTGTGACTTAAATGGGACTACCCTGTCTCTCACCCCATTCTCATTAAGAAACTGGGGGACTGTGGTGTTGACATCCACACAGTCAAATGGGTCACCAACTGGCTGGAGGGCCGCACCCAGAGAGTGGTAGTGGACGGGTCATTGTCGACCTGGAGGAATGTGGGCAGTGGGGTTCCGCAGGGCTCGGTCCTTGGGCCCACACTGTTCAACATCTTCATCAGCGACTTGGACAAGGGGGTAAATAGCACCCTGTTCAAATTTGCTGATGACACTAAGATGTGGGGGGAAGTGGGCACGCTAGAAGGGAGGAATAGGCTGCAATCAGACCTAGACAGGTTACAGGGGTGGGCGGATGAGAATAGGATGGGATTCAACACCTACAAGTGCAAGGTGATGCACCTGGGGAGGAA